GCAAGGACGAGGCATGAGTGACAACATGAGCATGCCACCCCAAGTCGTCCCCAACCCTCCAGCTTCAACCGTCGTCTCCTCTCCAAGGTTCCTCCAATTCTTCTCTACGCACCCCCTTCATTGTGGTTGGTAGCCAACCTCAACTTACATCTACCCAGGCAGCCTTGTGGCAAATAGAGCGCACCCATGAGCATGCAATCAAATCAACAGACACTGGGCGCCTCGTTCACTGGCCGAGACAGCAATGACATCGCATTTGGTTCGGAAACAAGCATTGTCCCTTGCGAACCGACCGTGGACCAAAATTCATCCAAAGCGTGTACCAATACCATCATCAACAACACCAACACCCACGCCTGACTCTTCCCCATCGAACAAAAAATCCGGGGTGGGCGTTCAGACCCTAGGGTTCTAGGAACAGCAGAAGGACCCTGAAGATCCCATCTTGAGAGGCGTCTGCCTTGCCCCAATCCAATGCTGGGTCTGCGTGCAGCTAGCCGCACTAGCGCGTCTGCTCGTTGGCTGCTTTCGATCCAGGAGTCCTCCAACCGAGGGGGTATCTGTACAGTACGGAGTACGGCCACACCTTTTACAAAAACGCTACTGGATTGCGAAGCCTGCGAATTGCATCCAACCTATCCCTCCCTCCGTGACATTCCCCGGCCGCCAAATGGCCCGCCGCCAGCGCCGCCGCGGTACGATGCCGTACCACTGCTACACGGGCTGCGGGCACGGGCACGGGCACGCACATTTACATACTACCCATCTGTATCTGTTCTGCTCCATGTCGACCAAACAACGAACACACTCCCGCCCACCCACACATCCAAGCACCCTTGACGGCGCATTTACAGGCACTAGCTATGCTATCTGCTACCCACCCACCGCATCCAACTGAATAACCGACTCCAATCACCACTCACAACCTAAATCACCGCACACGACACGAGAGGACGACCAAAAGCCTGTGCCGCGGCCACCATGACGTTGAGGTCAACAGGCTTCCCCCCTCTGAAGCAGCCATCTGTCTCGTGCGCCGGTATCTCGATGACGGAGCCCTACTAGCACAAGGTACTTGACACTTGGGGTGCGCGAACTCTCGAGGGTCTTCGCCTTCCATGGTCGGCTGCGGCCACTTTGACGCCTCGCCAGCTTTTTTGCCGTTGCGCTGCCGTCGTTGGCGCGCCCGCTGCATTTCGAGCACCGCATGCTACCTCGCTAGTTGGGCGGAACCTCCGCATGCCATCACAAACCTCGGATGGTGGACAAAGACACTATCAAGAGACGGGTGCCAAGCAATGCCGTCTCTCGCTTGCTCAGCATCGCTTCGCACCTGGCACTCATGGCTTCCATTATTTCACGCAGCGCTTCAACGGGCTAGCACCGTACTGCATCGCGATTCGAGCACAAGATCACTCTGATGGTGTAATGGCAGAATCCTTGCAGGAGCGCAACTGGACATCCCCGTCCCCATGATCTGGGGTAGGAAAGCCGGTCACGGCAGGCTCAGAGACTTGTCACGCGCGTATCCGCTGAAGGATGGACATGAGTGTGTGTCGGTGTCGGTACCTGGCGGATCGTCGGTGGCCCGGCAGGGCTTGGAAATGTTCGCCTTGTCACCTCATTTGCTGGCCGTCCTCCAAGCTCCGTGGAATGCCCAGCGAAACCTAGCACCACGGAACTCTGGGATGGCATTAGACGTGAAGCTCCAGAGAAGTCATGTTTTGGATATCGTTTAGCTCCATCGAATCGGGTGCCTCGCGAGCAGAAATCCCAGCCAAATCCTGGGTCATTGTGCCCTTCTTCTGCTGCTTTTGGTCGGGCTTGGTACGGGTACGGTAGTGCGGTACATTTGACGCTCTGGTCTTGCTGGATGTAACCTCACCATGCTCCCCGAGGATCAAACAAAGACGTCGTGTGCAGTGGGGTCGCTATCTTATCTCGTATGGATAGAGAGCCTGGCTCTAACAACGGAAGAGGAGCCCTCTCAGAAATCACTCAGACTGACCGTCTCGAGAAGTTGAGCCGGGCCACTTCATCAAATGCCGTTCGAATGGGTCCGCTGTGTCTACCCAAGGACCAAGGTGCTATCGAGGTATCCATGATCACAATGGACCTCTCTTTTCGAGCGTACTACGTATATGCGCTTTTCTCTGGACGGATACATGACCGACATTGTAGCCCGAACCACCAGGCATCAGATGTAAAACGTCCCCAGCACAGTCCACAGTTCAGACTTCAGCACCGCCGGGATCCGTCTCTTCCAAGATCGCCCCGCTCAAGGCAATGTCATCCAATCACTCCCGTTCAGCCCACCACGAAGCTTGATCGAGCTTAACTCCAGGATATCTCTCGAGCAGGAAATGATCAGAGCTCATCTTGGTGCCAAATCCCAGCAAACAGATGCTCGCTGCTCGACGCGTGCCTATGTGCGGAGTCTGACATGTTGCTGAAACACGCGCATCCACTTTTCCCTTCATCTCTGGTTGCGCCGAAGTTGGCTCTTCTTGTGGCTCCGCGGGACGGTGGAAGAGCTGGGGCTTGCGGCTGGGATGAGGCAATTCGATGCTGAGAACGACGACAAGTTACAACCACCACGGCGACGATAACGGTGTGGATACATACTTTTTGTTGACCCTCTCCACCTCCCACATCTACCATCAGGCTTTTGTTCCGATGGCTTGTCTTTTCAAGCACACACTGCGTAAGCAGGCATCTGGTTCACTTTGAGGCTTGCCTCATCTTGCATAGCCTTTGCCTTGGCCTGTCCACCACTTGCAGCACAAAGGTCCGCAATCTCCATTTGTTACGGTTCCTACATCGTCATCCCCAGCCCATCCATCTCCAACTTATCCAGTTCAGCGGAGCTCTACTTCCTTGCTCCCTTCTCCCAGCGATCCCAGTCCCCCGTCTTCGCAGTTCTTGGTGCAATGCCACATATTGTCAATGACAAAGTTCCCCTCATCATTCCTAGTCTCCATTCATCTTCATCCCATATCGAATGATTAGGTGCTCTCCTCGTTTGCATCTCACATACTCGGGGCGCTCCACACTGAGACCTCCCAAACCTGTCAGTCCTCCAATGCATATGCGATCTCCCAGGTTGTGTCCTCTCTCATATTGGTCTTCCCACCCCTTGTCCCTCTTGGTCCGCTCATACTATACATTAGCTCCAACGGACGGGCATACGACACGACTTAGTCTCTGCGGCAGAATTGCAGATTGACCATTCTAGTTGGCCTCTTTGGGATCCGTCTCTTCCTACTATAACTAACACCACGTCGTACATGACACTAAATTAGTCATCTCCGTTTTGGCCCATACGCCATCCGTCACTTCATGGCAAAGTTGGCCTAGTGCCGTCTTGGTGAGATCCCCTTGAGGACTCCGTAAACTACGTAAGCACATATCCATCCTTGATAGCGCTCCCCTCTATCTACGTAACCCAAGGTTGCTTCTTCCCCCGTCTTCGTTAGCCTCTTTCCGTAGCCTCCCCGAGTCTCCGCCCCGAAACGCCTCCATCATGGCGAGGCAAACCCCCTCCCTTTTAGCCGCCCTTCCGTGTCGCCGCGTTCGACTCAGTTGCCGCAACGGCGCCTTGTTCCAAAAACAAAGTCGCCGCTAACATGCCCGGACCAGGTGACCTTGACCAAGGCCAGCAACGACGACAACAACGTCGCGAATTGAGCCTCCACTTCCATCAGGACATTTTGTCGGTTTTTGCCTCCCCCGAGCGACCCCTCGGCAGCGTCCAACCCGCCAATTCGCGAGCCACGTTCAAGATGGATCATCTTATCTGACCATGGGCGCAACCCCGTCCTAATACCTAGCATATACCAAGCATGTCAATGTGTGTGTGTGCGTGAGAGTACGCCCCGCGTACCGAACGCAACTGCGCGCCGATCGTTGACCACGCGGCAGCTTCTCCCATGTTTTCACATGAACACTCGCACAACCCCCTCCCCCCTTTCTTAGAGATCGACGCAGCCTCTTTCCCCTTTCCCCAAAGAGCCCCCTCTTTCTATCAAAATCATGGCGTTTTGCTGGGTGCCTGGCATTGCCTTGGGTTTTGTCAGAAAGGCAGTGAGCCCGACCCTCATTTAGGCTTATCCCTACCATTGGGTTGTCACACACGCATACGCGGTGCCGGCCGGCAGTAGGTATACGCACACTTTCAGCTTCCGCACTCGGCGAAAGCGATTGGATTTGCGATGAGACAAAGGCGCGCGCCGTGGTTGAACCACACTAGACCACGGAATACCTACCAATCCTCCAAATTTCAGGGCCATGACATTGGGATATCATTGCCCGAATAGACCGCATCGCATGGCAGGTGGCGAGTCGGTGAGAGCCGAACCGTCCAAGCCCCAAATACACACATCCTCATCTCAAGCTTCGGCTTCATCCCCATTGCGGGGAGAGATGCATATGTGATGAGATGGCAGGCATGGCGCTTTTGGAGGCCCGGGAGGGGGGAAGCACGGGAGCTCGGGGGGCCAGTCTACTTGGGGATGCAGATTGTCGTTTTCCCCATCTTGATGCAAAGGCGGAGGAGAGGAACCGTTCCCCCGTGCCCTCGGCGCCGCGCCATCTATTTGATGCTTGACCACCTGCAATTGATCGATCGAATGTTCCTACAAGCCCAGGGAGCTTCATTGCATCAGAGGTGGTCTGATCTTGCGTTGCCGATCTATCAAACTTTGGCCGTTGGAGATGCGCGCGTTACAGATGGTTGATGTGAATGTTCTTTTTTGAAATTCTTCGTACTACTATTATATTATACTGTTCGCAATGTACTATGTGCGTGGTTACCCATATCCAGTGACACTACCAGCCAATCCACTAATCTGGTTTCCTTAAATCACAACCCATTTCCTTTGCTCGCCGCTCAAGTCACGAGGGACGCGAAGCAAAGAGTCTCAAAAGTCCAAAGAAAAAAAATTGTCCTCGACGATGCAAACTAGAAAATGCAGTGGCATTTCTTAGTAAGATGGGTATAATCATCGTGTGTGGAAGCTAGTAGTACAAGTCGCCCTCCCGGTTTGGGAACAGGGTCGAGTTTTTGCGAGGTGTGCCGCCAAGGCACCAACCTCTGGTTCGTCATCTAAGAAAAAGGACCCTTTTGGTGGAAATTCCCAACGGGCGGAAACGACATGATGAGCGCGCAACAAAGTAACAGATGATGAAAAACAAAAGGCAGAAAACAACAAGAGTGCAGCCCAGTATCCGTTCAACGCCAAGGGTGAGGGTATCGCCAGGTCCTCCATGACCTCTTGGAGATCTTCTTCCTCTTTCAAACATTTGAGAACCGAAAATGGACAAGAATGTGGTTGGTCCAGCCACCAACCAGGCCCGTATCCTGGGGGTTGTGTGGTGTGGGGTTGAGCGATCGACAATGAAGTGAATCCGCGCCCTTGTCCCCCTTCCTCCTCCTGCAGTTTCCCCCTTTCCCATGCGTACCTCACAGCCATGAGGCGCCGTCGACTCTGCCGCATCGTTCCGGAGCCCGCGGGCTCGAATAGTCGCAGGTAAAAGTAAGCCAATAAAAAAAAACATTGGTAAAAAGATCTCCAACATATCATGAGACACCCTTTATGATGATGATCCGAAAGTGACAACCCGCCCGCCAATTCCTTTGCCGCCGCCTGACTTTTGTCTCTTTCGCTCGCAGATAGATGGATATTATAACGATTGTAAGAATGGTATCGTGTGAGAACCGATGAAAAAACGAAGACCGTCTATGAGAAATTTTGAAAAATCACAACCCCGTTGTCGAGCCACTCGCAGATGTGGAGGGGGTTTCGGTGTCGAGAGTGGGTATAGACTTTAGGTCATGACTCGAACCGGGAAAACTCGTGAGCTCGTACTGATCATACTCGCCGAGGATTGTTTCGAGAACAACAATGTTGCCGTTACAGCTTGTTGTACATGTGGATATGGCAAGTTGAGTCCGATTAATCGGAGTGATGGTCTTCGGAACCAGCTTCAGAGCGAGCGTCGCCCTTGTGGACCTTCTTGTGCCTCCGCAAATTTGATACTACGGAGAAGTGACGACCGCAACCTTCGACCTCGCAGGCAAAGGCTATACTGATATTAGCACGTGTAATCTGGAGATATGCCTTGGCATGGATGATAATGGGTGTAACATACGCTTCTCGCCAGTGTGGCTGTACATGTGCGTCTGAAGAGAAGAAGGGCGAGTGAAACGCTTGTCGCACACCTTGCACTTATGCTTCTTCTGCGTGCTGGACGACACCTTGGAGCTGAACTGGCCCATCATGGATTGGGGCGCAGGCGGGATCTGGGGAGCCATGAGGCCGTGGGGCCTGGGGAGGGTCCGGGAGGTGACAGACTCGATGTCTGAGCCGGCAGTAGAGTAGTCGCTAACAGAGTCGGCGCCGTAGTAGTTGCCGAATCCAGAGGCGGAGGATACGGAAGAGCTGGTAGAGTGCGTCGAGGGGAAGCCGTACGAGTCACCTGAAGCTCTGTCGCTGCGGGCGCCATAGATGTTACGGGGAGTCTCTTGGCTCATGGCGAGCATGCCGTGGCTTGCGTCGAGGGCATCAGCGAAGCTCCTGCGCTCATCGTGGTGGTGAATTCCTCTGTTGTTAAAGTCAATCATTGAGTTGCGATGGGGCCGGGCCAGAATATTGGGGGTTGTGACATCGACCAGGGAAGTTGAGGGTACTGACGAGTGAGAGAATCTCCGAGAGTGTTCGGGTTCCGGAGCAAGGGCGAAAGTAGAGCGCATGGGAGCAGGTGCGTAGCCCATGGTCTCGTAGGGGGTGGGAGAAGCCGTGTAAGTAGCGTTGACAGGGGAAGCGGCGGTCGCGTAGGGAGCATCACCGTAGGCAGGGGCCGAGGTGGCAGCCATGCGGTTGATACTGAGGATATCTTGGGGAAGAGTGAGTAAGTCCGACCTAGGCAGAGGGTCTGCCATGGGGAGACTACCTGCTGAAGCTGCCGTCACTGGGATCTGTCCGTAAGAACCCAAAGATGAGGCATTGCTGCTGGTGCTAGTCCTAGCAGTGTGTGACCTGTCCAAGCCCAGACCCGAGTTGAGAGAGTGACCGTGGTGAGGAGCATACAAGCCCTGAGGAGCTTGAGGTGATGAGGTGTTTGCCCACGGGTTTGAGAACTGGGGGGAGGAGGAGGATGATGAATGTGCGTAGGAAGACATGTGGTCGAATGTGTTTAAAGGTCCGAATCGTTGCTGGGAATCTAATGTCATAGTCATGGTGGTATGGTTGGTGGTGTTGATGATGGTGGTGATGAGAGGTTGTGGTGGTGGTGATGAGATGGGATGACGAGGTTGAGCGTCAACAAAGGTAGATGTCCGGTGGAATAGCGTTTGCTGATCGGATGCAAGTGCAACGGCTTTGAGAAAAAGCCAAGTCGTGTTACGGATCAGATAGAACTGGATGATCCCGTGGGAATTGTGTGAGTTGAGGTTGGGGGATCAGCGAGGTTTAAGTGTGTGCCTGTGGACTACTGACACACGAGTATTTGAACCAGTTGAGAGCTGAGACCAATCGTTTGGGCCGACCAGGCAAGAGTCGTATGAAGCTTGTTGCACAGTGGTCAGCGGGACATGGGAGAGTCGTGTGGAGACTCGTTCTCTGCAGACAGCTGTGACGACTCCGACTCAGAGTGATCGACAGCGCCAATATCCCGTGGGAAAGAGGCCGAGGCGGACAGGGTTGGGGGCGATTAGGTAGGGTAGCAGGATGGTTCAGATTAGGACCGGGGGGCAGGCTGAGGAGGAGCCTTGAGGGAGGGAACGACCAGGTTGAGGTACAGTAGCGAAGTACTCCGTAGTGCAAGGTAGTGTACGAAGTAGGTGTAGACCAGCGAGAGCGGAGCGGATGCACGGTAGTGCGTAGCGTGGGTTTAGAGGTGTGTAAAGTGAGTGAATGAGGATGTGGGATTGTGGATGAGAATGGGAGAGGAGAGGAGAGAGAGAAAGAGATGGTGGCCCAATTTTTGACAAGTTGACCAGGAAGGAAGAGGAGGAGAGACCTGGAGTACGTCCCTGAGACGAAGTCGAAATGGGAGAAAGATCTGCGGTGTCGAGGACGGTTTGGTGAAAAGTCTCGAGGTCAATTGGGGAGCCGTGACAGGGACCCCAGGTGTAGTTCAGTAGTGCGGTGTAGAGTGCGGACGGCTCTGAAGTCAGCCGGGAGAAGACGACCGATAATTGGAAGTGCGTTCGTGTGTTTTTTTTTTTCTCCCCTTCCCTTTTTCCTCAAGTTCGCAAATAGTGGGGCTCTCCCGTGTTGTGTGTGTGTGTGTGTGTGTGTGTGTGTGTGTACGTAGTGTACGTAGCGTGGTGCTTTTTTTTGGTGTAAAAGGTACCAGTATCTTTTTCTCGTTCTTGTGTGTGGAAGAAAAAAAGATATGGGGGCAGTGTCGAAGAACAGACAGTTGCTTCTTTTTTTGATTTTGCTGCCTCTCAATGCGCTCTCTATTTCTTTCTGTTCAGTTGTGACGAACCGAAAGCACAGGGCAAGCAGGAAAGAAGGCGGAGCGCTCTGTCTGTAATGCGTGGTTGGGCTTGAGGTTGGATGATGGAGCTGATGATCTCTCTGATGATGAGCGTTCAGAAAATTGGGTCAAGGTGTAGAATTCGCAAAGAGGGATGGGGGAGGCGAGGGAACAACGCTTTTACATCCTGTGGTGCTTCCGGGTCAGGCAGGAGAGACAGCAGATGAAGCTATGATGTCGCTTTACTTGGTGTTAGAGTGCCTGGTGTGGAGCGATGAGGTGAAGGGGTGGGGTGAGGAAACCGATGGAGAGGGGGTGTGTTTTTTCTGGCAGCGAGAAAGATGAGGAAGAAGACGTGTGGTGGGGTCACTTTAGTAAGGAAAGAGGGATGGGGGTTCGACCGGGGGTAAGGGGGGGCGGGCAAGGAAGGAGAGAAGGAAGACAACGGGAGGGAAGGGGGTGTGTTTGCGAGTAAGAAGGAGTGGGTGGAGTGAGGGGGGAGAGACAGGCAGGGACCATGGGAAGTGGATACCCGGCTGTCCTAAGCCAGGCAGGAGAAAGTGTGCACACACACATACACACACCCACCTCTCTCTCTCCTCTCAGAGTCTTTCTGTCTCTCCAGTGTGAGGAGACTGGGAGGGGGCACCTACTGCGTACACCTACATCAGAGAAAGCGGTATCCGCTCGCACTACAGATGCGGAAACCTGCGAGGTGAAGAGCCGGGCTCAGGCTTGTACCGTCCAAGTCAGGTGCGCGCCACGCAGGTACCAAGCCCGACGGGTAGAACTACCAACGTAAAGCGCGGCTGTCGACGCCTCGACCACGTCCCGTCCCAAGTACCCGAGTACGTCGTCTATACTTTGGGCAAGGCTAGCACGCTCGAGCATATGCTGCCCTTTCGCCCACCTACCAAAGTACTGTACGGAGACTTTGCAAGTCTACCTACCTTACCTACCTTGCTGCAGAGTATGGCAACGTGAGGTAGGTATTCGTGCACCAGCATTAAGAGAAAAGCCCCCCAGTCCACAAGGTGCCGGTATCTGTCTCTCCCGCTCGCCATCGCCTCTAGCGCCAGGCCACGGGCAAGAGCTCTGTTCTCCCCCCATCTCTTCCAATCCGAGCAGCCCATCACTAGCCTTTACCTGGGCTAGTCAACTTAAGGTCAGGACTCAGCGTAACGTAGGATAGGGTACGGCGTCACGGCGTCTAGGGCATGCGGATACGCATTGCGCCTCCCTCGGGGTAGGAAGAATCAGAAGAAGCCAAAAAAGCGCCACTGATGATGGGTAGGCAAGGGCACGGAGACTATGGGAGGGGCGGCCATGGCATGGAATGGGACGGGATGGGGGTTCGAGTTGGTGGGCAGTCTCTCCTTTCTCGCGCATCTACACTACGAAAGGCAGACCAAAAGTGCAGATTTGTAGAGTCCCCCATGCTGGCTACGGATACTAGCATCGGGTCTGATCAAGGTTGAGGAGGAAGGGTGTGTGCGCTATGATTTCTCTTCTTCTCCTGCGACTATGACGGATGTGGACGGATAGGATAGTCAGGACGAGGGGTACGAAGTAGGGAAAGAAGAATTGTTCCCAAGTTAACCGTACTCTGGAGGTGGGTTCTGACGGCTGACTTGCCTGACGTCCAAGCCATGAGTTAATCAATCGCCAATGCCTGTAGAATAGAGATGAGATATGCAGGGTCTTTCTCTGCCAAAGCAGAGGAAGGGGAACAAAATACATCAAAACTCGACTCTCCGACCCTAGGTGCCATCTACGCCATACCGGATACGTAGTCAGCCAGCATCATGTCCAGATTCAGACCTGCCATGGCTTGACTCGGAACGGCGCTTGCTCGCCAGTGTCGCCACAAAGTCCCCTTGGGCTGAGATGGATGTCGCGATATCTGAGAGGGGAATGGCTCCAGGGCCGGGGTAGGGGACCATGTATTCCGGTCCAACGACTTTTTGATACTATCCTCCTCCTTGCGAAGCTAAATGCCTGATGACAGCACTCGCCGTCCCGCTGGCTGAAAGGAGCGAAAGAATGATGGATGTGGTGGTAGTGGTGGTGGTGTGCGAGCGTGCCTGCCTGCGTGCCTTGTGATGGCATCGCGTTCTGCGGTCTCTGCACTCGGCAAAGTGTGAAAGTGTCAAGACGAGCATGAAAGTAAAAAGAGTGGAGGGCAGGCCAAGAGAAGGGCTCTTAATGGTGACATTTTGTCCATATTCCATCGACGAGACCAACCGCAGCGTATCACGGGCGTCGAGATGCCGGCTTTGGCTCCTCTCAAGTGGCTCCCGTCAATTTGCTGGGAAAAGGTCTCCGGTCTCTCCCAAAGCCATTGGAAAAGTACGGATACCAGTATTCCGTATGGATACCCAGGACAGGTTGTAATGAAGACTGTGGGCGCATTCTTGTTGTCGTCGTCGGTTCGGTTCCTCATGTCTTCCTCTCTCTCTTGTCCCTTTCCCACTCCAACGCACGCAAATTCGCATCTGGCGTTGATACGGATACTGCGTTCAACGCTCGTTCGCTTGGGAGCGTCCCACCCTCTGGTATTCAAACAATATCAATGGCATCCTTGCGAAGAGGAGAGACCAGGGCGGGTTCGAAAGGTAGCGTGGGCGTTTGAAAGGGCAAAATGTAGGGGTAAGCCTTGGAGAAAGGCGCAAAGAACCAGAAAAGGTGGGCCCGAGGGCTGTACTGAATACCTTCCTCTCGTTCTTTCTTGCTGCCCGTCTGTCTCCTCCCACCCTTCCTTTGCCTGCGATGAAAATAAGCAACCACAAGCCAATGTCGATGAGAGCGCCAAGAAATACCTCTCTCAGACGGATCCTGAGCAACTTTGGAGAGAGAAAGAGCAGGGGCTCTCTCTGACGACGGGGGGGGGGGACTAAAGCGGGGACGTGAAAAAAGAGGGAAAGGAAGGGTGGTACGGCGTGCGTTTAACCCTCCAAGTGGATACCAGGGCGTCTTTCGACGGCTACCACTGACGTAAGGCACGTCAATGTATTGATGCGTTTCGAGCAAGGGTGTGCAAGATTGAAACAACCTCCACAGTGCCCACCCGGACACTGCTGTCATCAACTGGCAGGGGCCAAGGCAAAGGGAAGGGGGGGCACCGGGGCCCTTTTGGGGGGGGGATTGTGCCCTTGGTTTGTTCGTCAGTGAGGAAGTCGATGTATCCGTTCCTAGTGTAGTGTACGGAGTATTGAAGTGGAGGGAAGCGAATGAGGAGGGGAAAGAGGAGCTGCCAATTCGATTCGACCGCAAGCCGACGCAAGAAGAAGTTGCCCCCATGCTTTCAACACTGCAAAGTACCTACACTACGTATCTCGAGATCAAAATTGCCAGCAGAAAGAAGCGTCAACTTTTGGGTCTGATACGTACCTGCAAGATTCGGAAGAAAGTCACACGGCCAGGAAGTGGGAAGCTGCACTTGCACTGCACGCCAGGATCTGTTCTGTCCTGCCCCATCCCACATGTACAACCAATCCCTTTGCTTTCCACGCCCATTATTGCATGCTGCGTACTGTACTATGTAGAGTACGGAGCACTTCATACCTGGAAGGGGGAGGGGGGAAGATGACAAGGGACCTGCTACAAGATGAGAGCGGGCGGTCTTGAATGAGAGGGTGCTGCTGGAACCACATCGCAACCGTGGGTTTGGGCAGCAAGAATGCATGGTCAAAGACAGAAGGGTTCGACATTGTCGTCATATCATGGCATCTCTGTTACGATGACGGCCCATGCCTGTAACCCATCATCATTCAACGCAACAAAGACACATGTGTGTTGCCGAGCAAAACAGAAAAGTGCTTTTGACCGTGTGGGCTCGGCGGGAACAACCAGCCTTACTGTTCCTGTGGGAATGTCAATTCCGGCAATAAGTGACAGACAAGCCACTGAGCCTCACATTAACATGGTGGCAGTCGCGCGTACGAAGCCGCATTCAATGTCATCGAGTCAACCAACCCGGTGCTACCAACCACGAAACAAGCAAACGGTATATACGTACAGCTCCGATAAGCTGCCGCCATAGCTACTGTTAATTCAAGTCAAGTGCTTGGCTCTTCCATCGTATGCGTTTCTCATATGATCCGCTCCCAAGGAACCGATCTCTGGTTGATGAATTGCACGTTGTTTTTCCAATGGCTTGCATGCAAACATGAGCCTGGGTTCTTGATGACGAACTTTGTTCGCTCTCTAATATGAAGGAACACCTTCCATGATGGATGTACGGAAATCGCGTCAATAATGACATTTCCCGTGGCTGCATCTAGGACACACAGAATATCCATACTGTTACATGTATGACGCGGGTGCCAGCTTACTCGTCTGGGATGAGGCAGTGAACCTCCCAAAGGTGGCTACGGTTCATGTGGCCTTGGGTATCCGTATCTGCCTGTGTCGAGTATGACGGGGGTTGACGGAGGTAAACCGCATGGGGGGTGGTAGTGTCGTCTGTGAGGCCAGTGGATTTTGACTGACGTAGCGTGCCTCTTTTCATCCTTTCCATAATCAGGATTCTTTCCTTCTCGTGTTTGAGTTACGGCATGCTGGACGACGAGGACGAGAAACCATGATCTGGCAGCATTGGTTGGTCGGCCATCCAGCCGGCCAGGCATTGCTTGTCAGCATCCAAACGGCCCAGCAATTACATCAACGATCCGGGGTACCCTCGATCAACGCTGCCCCTCATCCATCCTACAATGGCGCAAGTGGAGATGTTGCCCTTTCTCCAGACGTTTCCCAGCGCACCACATGTCATCGTCTGCCTCGCGCAGATTTAGCTATTGCCCGTGGAAGAATAACCCAAAAGATCTCTTTTCTTCACGTGTTGAGCAGGAAAAGTGTCCGTCTCGCCGTGTCTGCAGGGTACCGTCCTCCACCCGAAGCTGCCGTTAAGGCCCCCATTGCTCTCCACACCAAGAATCTTTCATCTCTCAGGAAAATTCCATACCCAACTTGGACAGCATCCACCATGGGCTATTGCGAAGATGGAGATGCTTGGCAATATTTGAAGGTCTGGAAGGCTCTCTTGATAAATATCACCAAGAAATGATGGGTCGCAAACGCCTTCCGGACAAAAAAGTATGCTCAACATATCGATGTATACTCCGTACACTCCCCTTGACTCTCAGTTTGTCGGTGTCCCTTACAACAAACATGGGATACGGAGATCGAGGCACACTCTGGAGTGTAAACACTCAAGGCCTGGCAGCAATGTCTCGCGGCTTCCCGGATCTTCGATGCCTGAGGTCCGAGTGAGGGTTGGCATTGCCTAGGAATATGTCCTCTATCCCCAATGCGATGCATAGCAGGGGTTGGCAGGATTAGCGTAGGTGTCCGCAGAGAGAGAGAGAGAGAGAGGGCAAAAAGGGAAAGCAAAAAAACGGAAAACAGAGGAACTCGGTACTTGATTGCACCAGAGACAAGATCCACACAATCTGCAAGGATATACAGGGGAGATGATCCACCGTTCCTTTTCAGGGAGATGACGGGTGATGGGAGTGGCGCCGCACTAGCAGCTTTTCCGCTGCAGCCAGACAACGACCGCTGCCTCTGCAAGTGCCACACACCAACACTTTGACGCCCTCGAATTCAACCGCTCTATTCTCACGATTCGCTCTTTGCCCATGGCCGGTGTCGCGACGCTAGCTAGGACTCTGAGAGTGCGGAACGTTCCTGCAACCCCGGTTGTTTCTCCGCCTCCCTAGCAGAGACCGGGGCAAACGGGATATTGAAGAGCGGTCACGAAGTGCCCATTGCCCGCAACAGACTAATCTCTGACACAATCCCCTAGTGTCATCTAATCGTGCTTAGTGCGCAAGCTGGACCCTGATGAGCATTTTGCCTCCTTGATTGCAACGGTTCAAGGCAGCCAATCATCATTGGCCTCTGTTTCAAAGACATGCCGAACTGAGATTCCTGTGTCAACAGCAACACTTCAAGTAACCTCCACGTTCTGAAGAGGCTTAGAAGCTAAGCAGAGGCTGCGCTGGCACGATGGTTGGCGCTTCGACGACTTCTTCGCGGCAATCAAAAGCGGCCCGATATCAGTTCAGAGGCGCGTGTCCATGAACTAGGGGAATCACCGTGGAACTGCCCAAAACTTTCGTGTGAGCTTCCATCTCGTGGCAAGGTCCGAAGACAAGAAGAAGTGGCAAATAACATCTGCCGTGATAGCCCAATAGAGATGGCTTCATTTGGCCCCCATCCAAAAACGGATTCCCTGGAGCCGATAACAAGAACCCATCTTCTTAATAACGGATAATTCTTTTTGAATTCTTCTGGATCACGACCCGGGTCCCTAGGGCCTAGGAGATGGCAGGTGGGGTCCTCAGCTCAAAGGCCATCTGTCGGCTGAAGACCCTGGCAGCCTGGGCAGAGCCAGGCCTGAAGTGTAAAGTTCTCTTCGGCAATAAAATCCCCGGACGATAGTCTCCAGTGTGTAGAGTTCCGCAGATGATCGGCCAGGAACAACCCTGCCTGATGGAACGCCGGTTTAGGAGACTGGCCCAATAAACCTTTCAGCAACAGCCGACAGACAAGGAATTGTTGGGTGAGGATGAGCCGTCTTTGGAGGACTCAACAGCCTTTGCTGGGTCAACTCTGCAGGTCCTTTCCCGAAGAAGATGATCAGATGGTGGTGTTTTCGGAATGAGCGAAATGGGATATGCGGAACATGGAGAGTTGCGACAAGGTTCTCGAGATTGCCCCCAGCGTTCATCTCAAATCAAAGCTTCACTATGCCCTATTCGAAAGGATGGCAATTGGCGGTAACCTCGAAAGAGACAGTTGAAACACGCTAGACATGGGAGGTCCATGCCCAAAGTGTTGATAGCAGCAACGTTAAGGTCGCCGATGAGCCCGGGGACCCAGGTGAGTGAACAGACTTCGAAGTCTGAGAACGTGCCAACCAGCCAACGTAGCGGAGACTGACAAGCACCTCAGCGCTGATCCAGCAGTTTTTGAAATGGCTTCGTCGATGGAGTGGGATCTCGACATGATGATTTCTTGTCGTTGAGAGTGGGACATGCTGGTTGGGAAAAGCTTCCATGGCAGGCAACCCGACGAGACCCGGCTCCATCAGCTCAAGGGGAGCGAACGCGTCCTCTCCACATGCAGAACCCGATGGTAGGTGGCGACGACAGCCGGCTATCCATCCGTACTCCGTACACGAGAAAGCCGCGCTCGTCCCTTGACCGAGCAATGAGTCTATTGGAAAACGGCGCGACGGCTCGGTGAGCCACGGGATGATTAAGCCTGGCCCCCAAAGCTTCTGGCAGTCAACGGCATTGAGTAGGGCCGAACGCACAGGAGAATTCATGGAGCCGTCAATGAGGTGCAGTTGAGCGTGGAGTGCCACCTGATCCAGATACCCGAGATGATGACGGCGCCGATCACCGCCCAGAGTCCGGCGGCGGAACGGCACCTGACTGATCTTCTCTCCCAAAACAACGACAGGGTCGCATTGAAGGAAACATTCTCTGTCGGCCGGAATCTGTAGGCAATCTGTCATATTACCGTCCAAGCGGATGAGCGGGCTGCGGGCGGCCGGGCTTGTGCGGAATCAGAGTGGATGTTTGCAACCTGCCAAAGTCGGTGATGGTCAATAGTGAGGGCACGACCCACAGCGCCTCGGGTGCAACGTTGGTGGTGGATTAAAGTTCGAGAGGGAAAAAATGCAATGTCGAGGACGGGGTTGAATAGGGTTGCCTAGTGTAAGGCCAGGTGGGATTCGACGATAATGGATGGCAGTGCAGGCACATCGCGGCAGCTGAGTACGAGAAACTCATCAAAAGCACCCTTGGCGATAGTTGTTATGAAAGGAGTGCGTCTATGTAAAGGGGTGCGCATTGGCTGCCGTCTGAGTGTGCACTGCGAGCGAGAGCGGAGGAGACGGGAGAGCATAGCGATCAAGCAGCCTACCCCTTGCTGATTGAATTGACCAGGGAATGTCTCAGAATCGACATGGATTCCCCAAAGGCGGGTCTTCTTGTCTCTCCAAAGCAATCAAGCAATCCAGAGAGACTCCAGACAGCTCCCTTGGCATTGAACTGTATGGAGACGCTATACTGGAACTGACAGTAGCGCATTGTATCATCCTAGCTCTTCTGCAGCCCACAGCGGGGAATGTCGATCATGACCGTTTTCTGTTGTCCTGCAGACGGCCCAGCCGTGCCAGCCTCACTTTGTCAAGGTTCCTGTGCCTGGGGTGCCTGAAGCGCAGAGTACCATCGTGTTGTTTCTTGTCTCTGGGCTCCTAGAGTTGATCGAGGAGGCTTAATTAGAGCGAGGAAGAGCCGTGAGGCGCGCCAGTGGTGAGAAATGGTAATAGAAACATGACAGGATGCGCGCTGGCCGTTGGCCGCTTGGTCGTTTTCTCTTGTTCCCCAAGGCTCGATTATCTAGGGTCCGGGACGGCAGCGAAGCCCTAGCTGAAGATTTTAGCGGCTAGGCGTGTCCTGCGTGCTGCTACACTACAGACATACCTGTGGGGGGAGGAGGGAGGCCTTGCATATCCGTACGGATACTGCTGTTGTTATTGAGAAATGAGGTGCTGTTGGTGACTTGATGTTGCTGCTCGAAGCCATGCAATTCGATAACCATGTGAACAGGCATTGATTTGGATTTCTATGTGGGGCCATCAGAGCGTCGTCGCCAGATAGATGGCCAGCAGTGGGTTGGCACATGGTTTCTCGAAGTCGAAATTTCCTGTTCTCGCATTTTGCGGGTGTGCGGTTGCATTGGAAATAATGGAGCAGCCATTTTGACGATGCTAAGCGGCATCTGTCTGAGAGCCAGCGTGTCCAGGATGCGCAGGATGCGAGATGGAGCCGCTGAACTACCAGCACTCTCTCGCGCTCAGGTATCATGTAAGGTTTTTTTTTGTAGTGTTGGAAGCCGGCTCGAAATAGCTATGGAAGGCCGGGGAGAGATGGAGCGATTGATCCCGTCCCATCCTGTCATGTCTCTCTCGTGTTCGGCGGTGTGCTACCCGTGGTCCGTTCCTGAAAAAAGGGGGGAAAGGCAAAACCGAGAGGCCTTCAGACGTGTTGTAGTCAACGTCGGAAGCTCGGTTGTATGTTGTGTGAGCTTCTCAGCTTCTGAAGATGGTGGAGCGAATGACAGGTGACGCGCGTATCCTGTTGCAGACGACTTGTGGCTGACAGCCAAACGCCCTGAGCAACGCCTACCGAGACGGGACGAACGTCTCCCTGGCAGCATCGGAATGTTCGTGTTGATCCCGTAGCTCCAGTTTAATGCCATGGAAGGACATGGCCGTAAGAGCAGAGGGAAAGGCCAAAGCCCAAATGCCATGGCAGAGGCCAAAGAGGCAGGGCCGCGAGCCATGTAGCTGCATCTTCTAATGGCGGGATTGCTGGAGCCGGCAAGCCTTGTGCCAGCACACGAGTAACGGTGCGAATCGGTCAGGACAAGAACAGAATAGCATGGAGCTACTAGGCGGCGGCGTCATGCTGAGGTCAAGGCGATGTGGACTGACTAGCGCCGAGAAAGGGGATAGTTCGAAGGAAATGTCCACCTTGGTCAAAGCCGCGAACGAGGAACTTCGGAGGGTAACAAGAAAGTGAAGTCAGCGCTGGACAGCATCGACGATGAAGTACATGGTGAGCGTGTGGATGCCATCATTGCTCAGACTTGTTGTGGATGGAACTCGAAAGGCAGGGTATTGTTGACAGGACATAGTCATGTAATCTTGATCCGATGTGGTCGACTCGCGCTGAGGGGTGAGGGTTTGGGTTTGACCTGGTAGGAGACAGACGTTGGCGTTAAGAAAGGCAAATGTGGTCTTTCGCTTTCTCAGTGGTGAGGTTGGATGACATGAGGTCAGCGTTGTCAAAATCGGACGGATGTTGTCGAGATGGTTCCTAATCAATTACCTAAGGTAAGGCAAGGCGGGAGAGGAAGGCGAGACTTCCGGGCGGCTGCCCTGAACAGTTGTGCACTCATTCCAGTCGGGTGATTTCATTCTCAATTGCTTCCTTCCTTACCGTGAAATCAGGGCAGCTATATTCTATTCTGAAGGCAGGTATCCGTACCTACCTTACTGCGTAGGCAAAGCATTGAATAAGGCACGCTTCTTCCCTTGGTACCAGTCATCTGACACCTCTTAGCGTACATACACATTTGATGTCGAGGCAGGTGTATGCGTACGGAGCTCTCGGTACTCGGTAGGGCTGGCTGTGCTTGCCGCATCTTCACGCCCCCAAACATGGGGGAAACCGAGCGTGGAAGGGGCATCGTGGGATATGTTTCGAAACACTCAATGACGTAAACGCCCCTTGCGAGCCTGCTTTCGCCTACCTCTTATTCCGAAACAGCAAGAGGTCACCTTGCGATCTTTCCCCTTTTCCCAATTAATTATCTACCGTGCTACATCACCCTTTCAACCTTCCACCGATTCCACCTTCCGTCTGATATGTGCACAGGCAGGCACGTAGGTATGCATACCTACTCAGGTCATCTCCATGTAAGGTACCTACAAAAGTATCAAAAGTACGGATACCCCCCTCTTTCTCACCTTGAGTAAAATGGAAAGCAGGATGCATACCGAATAGGAACGCCCCAGCTTGTGTACCGCGAGTTTATTAACTTTTCTTTCCCCGGAATTGTTTCGTCCCAGCAATTCAGATCATCCCCGTAACAACTTTTCGACTGTCATTCGAGAGATATCGACCGAAACGCACTTCCGCCTTCACATTTGCATTTGCGGATGCACCGGCCTGCGCAGCCAGCCCCGTGCCCGGCGTTATCGCACACAGCTGTTGCGGTTTGCCACTCTTGTTTTCCGGGTCGGTCCTTGAGGATGAGGCTTTCCAGACACAAATTTGATTCGGACAAGGCCTTCCCAACACAACGACGCGCAACCCCCGCGCCAACGCTCCCTCCATACCTTCCTTGTCCACACTCATCCTCCCTTACAGATGCTTCAGATCTGGGATTCAGCAGGAAACTCACAATATCCTGCCATCCCTCTCGTCCTTGCTATACAGATACCTCCGTGCCTCCATAGCTGTCAGGTGCTGTTCGAGTCACTCTCAACACCACTCAACAGTCATGGCCTGCCAAGCTTGACTTACTCGCTCAGTCATGGAGACGGCACAGTTGCTCCGTCATCTTCCCTGCAACTTGCAAGCTTGCGAGAACTTACTCCGTCGTTCCGAACGTCCCCCGGCGCCAAACCGTTTGCTAGTGGAATGCGCTGACCAAAGTATTCCAATGCGCCAACCTGCACCTTGCGCAGCCCTGCGCTTTTGGCGCAAACTTTGTTCCCAGAAGTGCCTGCTGAGCATTTGCATATGCACTAATCAGCAATCCCGCGGTAAATCCGCCGCTGCCTTCACCGAACTTGAATGGTCACGGAGCACGCTGGCGGCCTGCCTGCCAGTGCAGCAGTGCCTGCTTCTTGCGGCTTGGTAAATAAAATGGGGTGGAGCAGTCTGGGGAAGCTTTCGGGCGATGTTGAATCCTCGTGGGAGAAGGGACGACAGCACGATGACAACGATGATCTATGACGATCATGGAGATCTCGCACATGAGACGACACGAGGACGATGTCGATATGATTTAGGGACGAAACGCCAGCTAACGATATGTCTTCTTCTGTGCTGTCGAACACGGTCGAAACCATGCTGTTGCTTGTGAGCATGCCCATTCTCGGATAGGTCCTGAAAACCGCCACTTCCCCCCTCCCCTCTCCCTTGGATCGAAAGTTCACAACGGCGCGTCGGCACTACGACCTCAGTATCTGTATCTGTGACGACTCTTTTCTAATCAGATGAGACATGGCGCAGTGGTCTGGTTGAATGCGTACCGCATACCTTAAACACGCCTTGCCTTCCATTCCCTTGGTCTAGTGCTTCGATAGAGCCGGCATGTAAATGAGGCAAGATTGTCTAGGGAATCCGAGTCTCATCGGCTTTCCGCTGTGGCTGTCTCGAACATGTCTTTCCATATAGAGTCCCGCTATGCCCGCCTCAAGATTCGCCCATTCCTCCTGCAAAGAGCCCCTGTCCTGCCAGTGAATTTGGCCGAGCTCACCGAGACAGTGCTTACTGTTTTAGTTTTGGTCGTTATCCACGTTATCTAGAGATGAAGACGGCGCCGCGGGACTTGAAAAAATTCCCGGGGGTGAAATGTCGATCGTTGCTTAAGAGGAACACCAATATGGAGTTTGGGGGACTGAAGTGTACACTAGGAACGCCTCAAGTCAGCCCAGACTATGGCCGTCTAGCCTTAACTCAGTTTACCCAGTTGACGCAGGCGCGCAGATCCCCCGCAGTGTCCCTTTGCGCGAGAGGCAACGCTGACGCCGTCGCGACCGTTTCCTTTGCCAGTGAGGCTTGAGAACACACGTAGACGCGGTCTGGAGAAAAAGGAAGCAAAGATGGGGCGCCTTTTGGTAGTGAGCCGAGTGTGAGACGGCGCGGATGTCCGCAAACCGCTGGACGAAAACAACGGAATGTCTCAGGAGCCAGGAAAGCCGCTCGCTTGTGC